CCCTATTGTCCTGACCCAGAAGCTGAGAGAGGGCTTCAGGAAGCAGAGCTCATTTTAAGGCAGAAGCGATGGGCAGTCGGGGGAGAGGACAACGCGTGTGCCTGCTGAGCGTCCCGAGCGGCCAACCCTCCGTGGGACCCAGGCGCCCAGGGCCGTGAGCTGCGTGGAGTACCAGCTGGCATAGAAGTTGCCCAGGGAGAAGGTCACGTAGCAGCTCATGGAGAGGACGATGGTCCACTTGCAGCCCAGCGTCCTGATGAGAAGCGGTGGCAGGAACATGGAGGACAGCAGCACCCCGCCGTAGAGCGTGCTGAGCACCGTCACGCCTAGGCCGTCCTCGCTGTACAGGCTGCTCTGTGAGGACAAGGCAGCCCCAGTCAGGGGCCAGGGCCTGCTCCCCCCGGGGCCCCAGTCCAGCAGCAGTGGGCTTCCCGGGAGGTGGCCTCTTCCCCACTGAGACGTGTGGCAGGAGGCCGCTGGGGACGCTGAGTAAAGTGAGTGAAACGCTTCTACAGACCCGGGGGGAAGCGAGGCCTACGGGGCGGGGCCCTCTGTGCCACCTGTGTCATCTACAGGACAAGGCTGCTGGCTGTCGCGTGTCCCCAGGCCCCGCAGGACGGGACGGAGCAGTCAGGGGCAGCAGGCAAGCCTCCTGGCTCACCCTGCACCCCAGAACTCACTGCTGCCTGATTCTGTCGTTTGTCACTTGAGAGCCTAGCAGCTTGGTATGAGGTGACCAGACCTAGCTTGGCCGGGGCAATCGCAGGGGTGAAGTGTGGATTTTGCTGTGGAAGAAAATCAGCATAGTTGTTTCTTCTTATTTCCCTTGTAAGATGAAAGAAGGATGCGCTAGAAGGGGGTGAGTGGGGCCCATGCATGGCATGTCTCCCTGTCCCCTCTCGCCACGTCCCTCTGTCCCTCGTCCTTCCACCGTTTCCTTGCCAGCGGCCGTCGTGGATGGGGTGGATGCCTCCTATGCTCCAGGTAACTGACCAGACCCCAGAGGAGAAGAAAGGTCTGGGACAGGTGTCTCCTTGCAGCGCCAAGGCCAAATCACACGTAAGCACCTTCCCCGAGTGCTGACAAGCGCAGACCCTGGAATGACAGCGTTCACCTTCCTTCT